CTGATGAATAACAAGAACCTACAACCAAGATTACTTTACCCAGCAAAGCTATCATTCAGAATTGAAGGTCAGATAAAGAGCTTCACAGATAAGAAAAAGCTAAAGGAGTTCATCACCACCAAACCAGTATTATATGAAATGCTGAAAGGTATTCTTTAAGAAGAGGAGGAAGAAGAAAAAGGTAAAGATAAAAAATTATGAACAACAAAGTGACAACAAATACATGTCTATCAACAAGTGTACCTAAAAATCAAATGAATAAAAACCTGATGAACAGAACAGACTGGTGAATATAATAGAATCAGGGGTATGGAAAGGGAACAGACTGACAATTCTTGGGAGGAAGGGATTGTGGGGGGTGTGGGAAAAGATTGGACAAATAGTTTATACCTATGGACGAGGTCAGTGAGGGCGGGGAAGGCCTGGAGTGGGGTGGGAACCGGGTGGAGGGGAGCTATGGGAGGGGGGAAAAAGAGGAACAACTGTAATAATCTGAAAAATAAAGATAACAAACAAACAAACAAACAAAAACCAAAGGTCCCATAGGATGTGCATAATTCCTCCAGCAATGAGATGTGGAAAATGGCCAAGAATGCCTGTGTTTAAAAATGCAAGCTTTTTCAAAGGTCTCTTTGGAACACTGGAAGAGTAGTGAGAAGAGCCAGGATTTTGTTTTTTTTTTGATGCACGCTTCAAATCTGGCTGTGCTGCTTAGTAGTAATGTCCCCTTGAGCAAGTGATAATCTCTTTGAATTTCAATTTCCTCATCTATAAAATGTGATACAAATCTCCCAGTCACACGGGTTAAAATGAAAATAGCATATGTATAATATTTGACTCCATACTGGGCAAAAAGTAGGGGCTCGGTATATGCAAATTCTTCTTACCTTGGGGGAAAAAAGGCCACTAAAAGACAGGGACCATAGTGTTTATAGAAGCTTTGTTGTTAATAGCCTCACTGGAAACAACCCAAATGACAGCCCCAAATGACCAGTAATTGGGGAAAAAAAGTGGAATATCCATACACTTTTTTCATGACACAGCATGAACTACTCTTACTGCATAAGCATGGATAAGTCTCACCAACATAATGTTGAATGACACAAAATAATGCAGGCTATATAATTCCATTGAAAGAAAGTTCAAAAGTAGGCAAAATTAATCTAGGATGACAGAGAGCAGAAATAGTAATATTTTGGTGAGAGGATGGATGGGAAGGAAGAAAGAGGGAGCCTGCTGGTGTGCTGGGAATGCTCTGTCTTCATCTGCAAGATGGTGGTTACACAGGGAGAAATGTATGTGAAAATTCATCAGACTGTGCACTTAAGAGTTGCTCATTTTACATGTAAATTATTTACATTTGAAAAAGATTTTTAATTGATTTTTAGAGAGAGAGGAAGGGGGAAGGAGAGAGAGAGATTGATGTGAGAGTGAAACATACATTGGCTGCCTCCTGCACGCTCCCTACTGTACATTTATTTTTAATATTTTATTGATTTTTTAGAGAGAGAGGAAGGAAGAGGGAGAGAGAGAAACATTGATGTGAGAGCAAAACATCTCAGGGACAGAGCCTGCAATTGGGCATGTGCTGTGTCCTGTAATGGAATGGGCAACATTTTGGTGCTGGGAGGACGCCCAACCAGCTGAGCCACACCAGCCAGGGCTATTTACATTTGTTTAACCTATACATGCCAAAAAAAATGAAACTAGACCACCAGCTTACACCATACACAAAAACAAACTAAAAAAAATAAGAAAAAACAATAAATAAATAGGTAAATAAATAAATAAACTCAAAATAGATAAAGACTTCAATATAAGATGGGAAACCATAAAAAACCTTAGAAGAATCCATAGGCAGCAAAATATCAGACATATGTTGTTGCAATATCTTTACTAATACAGCTCC